ACAATCCCTGAACATTAACACATACCTGTGCATATATGCATCTTTTTCATGAATTTGTCCACATAAAATTTGAATTAAACTATAACAAAGTTTGTTATGCAAACCTAGATTTGAGGTTCAAGGTCAGAATGTTACTTAATCAGGTCACCTTTGAAAGTCCAAAAGCATTACAATAAAAGCCTCCAAACACGGTAACTTGCAAGCATTGTGTTGCAGCTGATACCTAATCATCTAAATAATGGCACAAATACTATTATTTAGATTAGACTGAAGAACAACTAAATATGGTTCTACTCCAACACGTCTGGATTGTCAAAAGATTGTATAACGAACAGTTCAATGATGAAAATCATCCTTTACGTTGGATGATGGGAAATGTGTCGGTGGCTGTGTATAAAAGACTCATTTATGTAAGATGCTGTGCAAGGAAGACCAATAATAACAATGAAGCTGCCACACTGGTTGATTAGTTTTTTTAATTCTTTTCATATGGCATCAGTGGATTACACTGACCTTGTTAACCCAAAGTAACCATTGGTTTCCATACTTTAGCTTTTAATACAGTATATGTACATTCACAAAATTTAGCAAACTTTCAGTAAACATTAGAAGTCTTTTGTACACAAAAAAAAATCAGATTTTTTAAGTATTTATACTAAACTAATATATTTCTAATTTTTATATTTTAGTTACAAAAAATGTAGTTCTTACCTTTGATTTTTTGTTGTTGTTGTCGTTTGCCAATATAATTTAAGGCTACTATTTTTTTTTACAAAAGACCTTGTACATTAAATAACATTTACTTACTTAAACAATACACCTAAGAACACATAATACTAACATACAAAGCAAAATTATAACTTAATTGCCTTTCTAACTATTGCATAAGAGCCTTAAAATAATCCCATAAGCTTTTCAATGTGGCTACTGGAAGAGAAACTTTCAAACTGAAGATTAAATACACAATACTCTGTACTGAAATCAATGTAATATAATATGCCATTTGATAGATTAAAACTATACTTTTTTGTTTGTTATAAATTATATATATAATATAAAATGTCAGAGATCATTATTGGCAATTTTTGAAAAAGGATACGACAGGTGAGCATGGCAAGTGAGTTCGACTTGCTAGTTTAATTCTCCATAAATAAAGATTGAAGGGTATAAAAATTAGACATTGCTTTAGTAATATCTTTATAATAACAAGTAATTTATGTCAAAATCTGTACTTTAGAGAGGGGTGACAAACAGATTAAAGAGGGAAGACCTAGAGAACATGTTACAAATTTCACACTAGAAGAGAGAGAATTTTTAAAAATATATCCTTATAAAATTAAGAACTTAAAACTTGTATAATACTAAAATTTGATTTATTAACTACATTTTGATGTCAAGTTCATTTGTAGACATTGATCATAAAGTATTTTAATTAAATTCTGAATATAACTGTTAAAAGTTCAGGAAATGCACACTTTAATTTATCTGTAGCACAAGGGTTAAGCACAAAGTTACACAATGGGACTATTTGTGCTTTACCCACATCTAGTATTTAAACCAGATTTTGAGCATTGTAAGCTCTGACTATGATGTTCCAGGCAACATTAATTACACATTTGCAGAATAGATGTTACTAAAGCACAGTAATTTTACAGCCTTCAATGCTTATAGATATAAAAAACAGTAAATCAAACCCACTTACTACACACTCGTATCACATCCTTTTACAGAAGAAGTACTTTTAATTTTAGCATTAAAATCATCTTGTAGTCAGACTAGTCTGAGTCAAACATAGACTGACTAAAGTAAATTCAGGAACAATATTTGGTAGAAACACTTCATTAATAAATTATCAGTTTTTACTGAAAACATACTTGTAATCCTTACTAAAAGCTTGCCAAATTTTGTGAAGGTACATTATGTATGTTCAGAGTTATAGTATGTACTGTTTCACAATTACTTGGTGTTACAAGGTTGTGTAAAATACACGAGCCCATCTCCATAGCATGTACTTTCTTTAATTTGACAGCAAACCCCCAAAATATTTTAAATCAAAATACAAAATTCCTCCGTACATCTTTTTATTATTGATATTGTATTGTACCAAGTTGAAAAAAATATGGTGTACAGGAAATCTTCACAATTTGAAAGACTAAGCAACTGTTGATGTTTATCATTCATTTTCATACACAAACTATAAGTTTATCTGTTTGAATATTACAAAATCAAATTATATATTTTTCCAAAACTTTTAAATTAGCATTTTGTGAATTAGAATAATTGTTTATTTAAATTATACAAAAGTTAACAAATGTAAATCAGCCTGTGGTTTCTACATATACACTAGTTATCAAATAATACATCAAATCAGAGCTTCCTGCATGAAATGATAATTTTTATGAAAACCACATCTTTCCATAACTATTCTATTACATCTTTTTAAGGATATCATAATCCAGCCTTTGTTTCTGAAATATATATTTCAGAGTAATGCGTACACTTCATGGTGCATACAATAATCAACAAACGAAGAACTGCTAATTAATAGAGCTGATCAAAATCTAACACTAATGGTAAATAAAACTTTGATATTACCATTTTCAAAACAGGTGTATGGACAGTTTGCTTCAGTTTTGTTACAAACTAATTAAAACACAAAAAAATACACTTAGAAGGTAGAATCACCTTTCTTTTTTTATTATCAAATATGAACTTACACTTAATATTAAGGAATGTGAACTTGAAAAATGCACATGATACACACAATGCAAACCATAAAAATCTTATTTAGAAAAAAAAAATTTTCAAGAATAAGTTTTCAGATTTTGAAATCACAACTACCTAAGCCTCAAACAGTTATTAAAGCAAAAAATGAAAAATGGTAATTTAATATTATTTAATACTAACTTCACAGAAACCCTTGGCTAATTTTCACTAAAATTTCTGGTATAACTAATTACAAAACATGGTAAACTAAGAAATTTGTTGTCAGAATATCTTGGATCAATTAAAAAGTGTGTATAGTATTGATAGACATTACCTATATACAAGCTGATGGTGGAATTGTTTTTGCTTTTTTCGCTTGTTTATAATGAAATTCTTTTATGAGAAGTTGTTTTTTGTCGTTGTTTTTTTATGATGTAGTGTTCTCTTTGCAAAATAGGCTGAAGATGTTCTAACGAGTATCTAATGACTGACATTGTTTAATATTGTTTACACATCCTTCTGAATGTTTCAACTAATAATAAAAATAATACAGTACTAAAACTCTTATTAACCCTGTTTAACATAGGTCAAATGTCCTGAGACAATAAGCAAAGTGTTAATTGAGATTTATGGCACTTGATTAAAGTGAAAGTTCAGTTATTTAAAACATAAGCTCAGGCATGTAAAATATGATTCCCGAAAAACATGTACATGTGCATATGTAACACTGATGGAGAAACAGTATAATCTAATAATATCAATAAAATAAGACCTACAACTACAGTATGTTTAAAAAAATGAATACAAGTTACAAAATAAGTTTCATTTCAGCTTAAAGACAAAGAAATTTTGGACCTGTAAGGCATAAAGTTAAGGTATCTTCAGTACATGTAAAAAATGTTACTAATTCCCTTCAGATTGCATTTCCAAGAAAAGTCTGAAATGTCTTATGAATAAATAAAAAAAAATTGTTTTGAAGGCATAATTCTTTCCTTTTGTCAACTTTCCAGATCTTTATTTTTTACCACAGGAAAGATTTTTAAAGTCAACTCAAAAATACAGTGATGTAATAAACATTTAACTTTGTTAATCTTCCTTCACCATGAAGCAATAAATGGTTCTCCTTAAAGCTTTATCCAGTTCTTTCACAGCTATTTTATTCTCATGGTAATTAACTGTAACTACTTGTTTTTCTCATTACATATACTCATACACCTACTTCTTTTGTGTTTTAGTGTAATTCTTCACTATCTGCCTTCTGTCAACGGCAACAAAATATGATCCTTAATTTTAGCACTGTAAACTCGCTGCTGACTCACAAATGGACTCCTGTCTTCTTACTTTTATTCATGTTATTAATTTCACCCCAATATATGTATCAACTGTTTATATTTATTATGCTCACACTATTCCATTCTTAACTTGAAACTGGTCATTCTAACAAGCATTTTTTTTTTCAATGCGGTGACTTCCTGGCAAAATAAGCAATATCCTAATCATGATTAAATGATTTGCAGTTGTTTAATATTCTTTGTGTTCTTCTGAATGTGACAATTAGAAAAAATAAAACTAATTTAACTGGAAGGTAAGTAGATTCTTCAAGTGCAGTGCTTTGAAGTTAGATAAAATTATTATATTGTACTAGAAAAATATTATTTCTTAAAAAATTTGTAATGAAACTGTTTTAAAATGGTTCTTAAATCAATTTAACATATTTCTACGCTAAAACTAAATCACAACTCGTGGTTGGTCTTCATTTTTAGATAAATGACAATCCAAATATAAAGCAAAGAAGAAAAAAGTAACACTGTCCTGTTAAATTATCCACATTTCTTGCATCTGTGACATGTTTCCACTGGCAAGTTGTGAAGGTGAACTGAAAAGGCATAAATACACAAACACACTATACACGTATAGTAATGATGAGAGATGTGCAAGAAGCCAAACTAATGAATTCAGAGATTGTAGGTTGTGATAAAATGGTGTAAACACTTACAATAATCAATCTCATGTAATCATACTCCAAGTAAAATCATTCAAGAGTAATGGAATAAAAAAAAAAAAGAGTTCAGATCTATCACAGAATGTTGGAATATTCACGTTAAGACTGTGAAAAACAGAAAACATTTTTTGCAGCAAACTCACGCATAATTACTGCATCCAATGTGGCCACACGGGAACATCTACTATTTGCAAGGTCTTAGCAGCATTAGTCTTCATGATTGTTGTGGATACTTTGGTAGAGGCTAGGATATGCAAATGGCACATAATATCTACACATGCTTGTCTATAAAGCCTGCCAACATTGAAATCTTGAGAAACGGTTACAAATTTTGGAATGAAAACCACTTCAAAGTTTGAAGCAATAACCAAATATGGATCTGGAAACAAGCAAGTAAACAATCTGACCATAATTGTTTTGCATCAAATTGTAAAGGAGTATTAAAGAGGTATGTTCTAGCAATCAAAGAGAAAACATATTGAACTCTCTGTATATCTAAATACCACTGGATACCAAAAGATCTTAAGTAAACATATTCCAAATGCTATGAAAGTGTTTACTTATTTCTAACGTGTTGTCCTAGCTGTCAAAACCTAATTAAGATCATATCTCAAAAGAAAGCAGGAGACTACATTTCCAAAGAGTTAATAGAATAACAAATACTTCTTGATAACCTATAATTCTAATTCTCCAAATATTAGCATTTAATTTTTTTTAATAAATTAGTTCTACCTGAAATTATATTTTTGATATGATTTAAGAGATTATGATAAGCAGGAGTAAAAAAAGCATTACTTTCCTTGTTCAATTTTAAAATTAACAATTTCAACCTACATTGTCTAGGACTCTAGGTTATCTGATCATAACTACACAAGGACTATACAAGTTAGTTGTGTAAGATTTTGAACCAACAAACTAGATAAAGGTCAACTGGTCAAAAAGAACCTTCTGCCAATTACTGGGCTACTCTAACCAAATAGTGGAATTTGACCATCACTCATATATATACAGTCCTATTGCCTAGTCTGAGGCACCTACCACTAGACTATGCATGGCCTACCCAAATTTTATTTCATAAAATAAAATCACTTACCCTAAGCCTCACAGTACAGTGCACAAACAATTAGGCCACCCATGGCCTACCTGAACTTTTCACAAAATAAATCAACTAACCTCAAAACCAAAAGTATGGTGCACTAACCATTAGGTCACACATGGCTCATCTAAATTTTATTTCATGAAATGTGGGTAGACTTATGGAAAAAGTTTATCATGTATAAATGGTTAAAATATTCATATATGATAATAATTTGCCCTTTGCCAAATGCTTTGACATTATCTTCTAAAGTGACAAGACCCTAACATAAACCAAATTAATAACCGAGCATAAAAAATTTAGGAATTTCAAGAAAACCATCTGCAAACCGTTTTTTTTTTTTTTTTTTTATCTAATGATTTTCTTGCAGCAGTAACAATCAAAAACAGTTGGATGAGCCCAGTGTACACACAAAAATGCATTTTTCTGCAAACTATTGTAGAGTAAAAATTTGAGCACTGATGTTCTAAGCTAAAGTGCTATAGTTTAGTTTATAGCTCATGTATTCCTATTTAGTTTAATAATCTAGAAATTCATGTTTTTGGAAAGCTTTGTTTGGCATATTTTAATTATTATTTTGAACTGCTATACTATCATTCAAATGTCATCAGGCACAGTAATGTAATTAAGAAATATTTTTGGCACATGGAGTTACATTTATATGTTATTTCCAGATGGATGGATGGATGGATGATAGTTAAAAAAATTCCATCCTTTATTTCTATTTTATCAGATAGTACAAAAACATGTATATTTAATAATTAGTGATCACACTAATTTTCCAATTTTTATTTTTCTGAACATTATATTTTTTCATTATCAAAAGCAAATTTAACATTCAAGGTGAAACTCCCTAACAATGTTTTTGTTTTACTATTGATGGATCTTTAAATTTCCTAATGATAAACCCTTTTCTCACTAATGTGGAATCTGAACCACATTATAGTTTCAGCTAATGTCTTCATATTGCTCATGATACAAATTAATAAAATTTAAAGTCAGAGACAACAGTAGTTATTTATTGAGTTGAAGCAATAAAATTTCTTATTCTAATTCATATCTTTGACATTGAGAAATGTGTATAAATTATTAAAATCCAGCACAAAACACATGGTTTACAATGAGTATTAAGTAGTGAAAGCAAAATATTACAGGTATTAAAATTTTAGAGTTGGCAGATGTTATTCATCCACTCTTGTGAGACAATTACTCTATATAAAAAAAAAAAAAAATATGCCCTTCTATTACCATACATCACAGTTTTGTTTTCAACAGGTTAACAGTTACCGTAATTAGAAAATTTTTTTTCCCCTGGCTCATGTCACTAAAATCATTACAGAAAAGTCTACGAAACTACAACAATGCAAAATGGGTCACACATAGACATTAATGATGTATTGCTTGACACAAGTTTCTATGTAAATTTGAGTGTTATGTAGACAATATAAAAGTTGGTACTTCAGTATTGTAAGAATGATCCAAGGCTGTTTAATATCGACGCGGAGGTGGGGGCCCTCCTCCTACACGCGAGGGACCATAACCTGATGATGTGTCATTAAAATTATCTCGTGCTTTGCCATAGGAGGAGGCCCCTCTGTAGCTGCCATAGCGGTCATCACTAGGGGGCCTGCTGGCACCTACAGAAACAAGTTGGTGGCATGAGAGACAACAAGTATGTTTAATATATTTAGAAAAACAACCTTCAATATTGCAGTACAGGTTTTAGAGTGGATTTCAAATTGATTTTTTTTTTGCCATTTAACTTTCAGTCTGTTCCAGAACAATATGAACTGTCCATTAGCCAGTATTCAAGAACAGACTTAATTTTTTTTCTGCATGTCTGAACAATTACAAACAAAATATATACTTTAGTTACAATCATACTGCCAAATTTTCTTGCATTATTTTCATAAATTTATTTACAGAAGATTGATTTTTTCATTAGTAAAAAACGTTTTGATAAATTTACTTGATATTTTATTCACCCAAATGATAAATGTTTGTAACATACCATCTATATAACTAAAGGATACCAAAGCAAGTGAATTTTGTGCATTTTTTCTAAAATGATGTTAATACCTTCCACATGCTTCTGTCGCAGATTATATAATAATCATATTATTTTAGTTAATTTATACTTATTTATCACACAATTTTACCTAAAAGTGGCCATTCTTAATTATATTTCTTTATTTCACTAAAAATAAGCTGAGGTAGTTTTTTTAACAATTAAGTAACCACTTGATACACATTATACGACTTCACGGTGTGATTTTAGGTTATTAAATTAAACGTTTCTACATCATAACCTCGTACAATGTAGTGCACATTCAATATAAGAAGATTCTGTTCATAACAAACAGCCAAAACAACAACAACAACTGAATATTTAGAACAGGTGAAGTTCATATTTAAAACTTGCTATTTTTGTTGTAGCATACTTATGTTTTGTTTACTGGAGGGAGAATAAAAAAAAAGGAAACCAACAATACCACAAAACACATTAAGTTATTATATGTTACTTTAACTAAGGATTTGACAAACAACAAATAATGCTTAGAGTATGCAATAATTCCATTTAAGGCTACCAAAAAATTATTGAGCAAATGCTCACAGTAACTTTTTTTAATTTCTATTTAACCAGGTTTCCATAGTTGATTCATTACATTTTCACTTGGTCCGTACCAGTAATATACATTTTTATTTTTTAAATATGCATTATTTCAAATAATTGTGCCCAAATATTTACTTGGAAACTTGAATTATGATAATTTTAACTACTGTGAATGATAAACAAAAACCTACCCGAGTCATAATCTTGTTCATAGTTGCTGTATGAAGTGTATGCTCCACGAGCACCTTGAAACAGACAAGTCACTTTTATTGTGATTTTGAATATAAACGATTAATAAATATATCACCTAAAATACTTTAAAAATCATTACAAAAATGCAAAATATGTAATGTTTCTGTATTAGATGGCACCACTAATAGTTTTAAAATACTGAAGTAAAGAGCACTGTAAGATTTTATAAAATCATAAATCAGGAATAAAAAATCTAATTTATTTTATAACTTATTTTCCTGAGCAGATTTATTTTCTGACACTTGTGCAAAACTATGAAAAAGCTATTTGTGCTAAACACCCTGACAGACTACAGCAACAGCACCTAGTTAATGGCACACACTGCTAATCAAGTAGTGGAATTTGGCTGTCACTTTATTAACACATTTACTGTCTCAAAGTACAGGTGTTGGGGTTTGGCAGCAACAAGATATGCGCCACAGACCCTTGGATTCAAAGTTTGGCATGCTAATCACTAGGCCATGACTTGTCCAAGTATTTTTTATAAGCTTAACCTGTCCACGCAAGTTCAAATAATTTTCCATTAAAGGTATGTAAATGTTTTTTTCCCCCTTTTTTACAGATTTTTTTCATTTAGACGGGTAATCAATGGATAAAGAAAAGACCTTTGTGACATGTCAACAAACCCAATGTTACTTCTATATGCATTATGAATAACAAAACACATTATACCCACTAGATAGCCTATGAATCAAATTTATGATTAGTACAATTTATTTACAATATAAAGGACTTCCCAGTTGTATTTTAACAAGTTATAAAAACAACCTCATACTATATTAGTTGAGTTTTTGAAAAAAAAACACAAAATTATTCTGTATATGAAATGAACTTAATAACATTGTTTTTCATTTGTTGACATTATTTGTTAATTTTCATGACTGTAAAGAAACGGAAATAAATTATTTTAGAAATTCTCTGCATTTTTGTCCCCCCCCCCAAAGTTTTGAATTCTCAACAATTTCTTAAAGCTTATGAAAAAATTTACTTATGTATTGAGTCTTTTTATATTTAGCTTTAAAGTAGCTGATAGCATTAATAACAGATTTTCAGTTTGCTATGGAACTACATTCATGTGTGTGTAATTATACAGCATAAACAATGCTTTTAGGTGTGGAATGTCCTGGAAAAAACATTCTCATGTATTAGTTTAGACTAATTAGATACTCATTCAGAAGTAGCTGTTATACAATATCTATTTCATTAAATTGGACCAATACAATTCTTCAATGAAGAAGCCTAAAATAAGCTGAATGAATTCCTTCATATGAATAAAAACATTTTTAAGTGACAAATATTTTGCTACTTCATGACTGTAAAAGTTATAAACTTAGTAAATATTAACAATATATATGGAGCAGAATATTAAGATTTAAACAAATAATAAATGGTCAATTTAACTTTCGAGAGTTTGTGTAGCTTGACTGTGAGGCAAATCTTAACCAAATTTGTAAAGAATGATATACACATACTTTAGTTCTTAATCAATCTGTTAGCAGAAATATTATACATTTTTCCTCTTTTACATTCCGACTAATTCTTCTTAATCATCTTAACAAAAATTTTTTCAGAATAAACATGATAGGTTTCCAAAAATTTTATATGAAAGGTATTACATTAAATTTAATTAAGAGATACTTTTTGGGGAAGCATTTTTATTACTCTGCAGTTACACAAAGTGCCAAAAAAATTAACACACAGAGTGAAGTACAAGTTGGTGTAAATTCTCTAGGTATTGTTTAACTTCAGCCCACTTCTATAAATGCAAGTATGTGTTTTGGAATTGTGTCAGTGGTTTTCACCATATTTGTCACTGTTTCACACAGATGTTGCCTTGATAATGCTCCTGAGGAGAATATAGTCATGTTCTACCCAGTTAATAAACATAATGTGTCTAGTCTTAAAGTCTTCAAGTAATTGTTACACTATTTCAGTTTTATATATATAAAGTTCAACATTTTTAAAACTGTAAACACTATGATTCTTAGTATATCAAGTACAACAGAACCCCCCTCCCCCAGACACATTTCAAAGCTACACTGAAAGACCTTTTAGTGAGACTATTGTCTTCACTTGTACTGACAATCCAGTGTTCCACTTAAAACAGAAAATCCATGTTTTTTGAAGTAATTAAACATTACTTAACTATACCGGTCAATGATGAAAGATGCACCGTAATAAGAACAGGTTTAAATGTCTCTAAACACACAAGTCTGTGCTTGTTTTTTCCTTTCTTCTTTTCTTTTATTGTAGAAAAGTTACCACCTTAACACTATTTTTTTAATTGACCAAAACTTGCAAAATTGAATACAACTTAAAGTTTTTTTTAAATTGCATGTATTTACCTTTCTTAATTTAAAAATTAATGCACTTAACAACAACAAAATATACAAAAAACTAAATCCTAAGTCATAATCAAACCAATTTATAAAATAAATACTATTAAAGGGAATGATATTTATAAAAATCACTCCTGTCTATGTAATAATTTTATCTTTTTACTGACTCATGATTTAAAAACAAACATAGTTTAATCATAAAATGTATGCCTAAATTCATAAACTACAAGCAATACTGGCATGACCTACCATAGCTATTTGGTGGGGTAGTCCTCCCTCTCCCTCTGTTATACAAAGAAGTACTATAGCTGGAAAGAGCAGCTTGACTACCAGTGTAATTATCTTTAACATACATCCTGTTGTATGAATCTGGATTCTGAGCCATACCATTGAAGTTATTAGATCTTTGTGTTCCATACGAGTCAGTGCTTCCAGAAGTGCCATAACCAGCAGTATTTCTAGATCTTGAATATGGGTCGATGCCTTGTTGTGAATCATAAAGACCTGCTCCACCTCTAGATCTACTGAAGTCTGGTTCTTGGGAAAATGAATACGGATCTCTGGTAGCGTTGTACATGTCACCAGCAGATGATTGGCCATATTGGTCAACTAAGGCAGGTGGTTTATCAAACCTGTCATAGTTCATAGAATTTTGGTAACTTGGACCTCTGGCAAATGAGGATCCAAGAAGAGGTTGATTTCTACCTTCTGCACCGTAACTGCTCAAAATTAAGAACCCAACAGACTTATTAAAAACAAATTATCAAGTTTACAAGAAAAATTACATCATTTAAAGAAACAATGTTTAATAATTACAGGTCTAGAAACACAATGGAAACATATACATGCACATTAATACTTTACATACAGACAAAAAGTTAAAGCTGCAATCTCCAATGAATCACTCTGAAATTAGCAAAATATGTCTAAACAGTTATATGTTTTTGCATTACATAAGTTACAAGTACCAGAATGTGGTACAGTAAAACTTCTTAGACACCAAATGATTTTGATATAAAACATGCAAATGGACCATGTCCATAATAACCAGATTCATGGACTCAAGAAGACTTCTTATTTAAAATTACAGAATTGATAAATATTTTCTTCTCTTTTTCATGTCCATTCAGTTTGAGGTAAGGCATGCAACATATATGAAACAAACTTCTAGCTGGCCTCTGAAAGATTTGCATATAAACATAGTAAAATGTTTACATACTTTTGATTTGCTTATTTCACATTATGGTGCACTGCACAAAAAAGTGTAATTGAAATTTTTAATATTACAGCTATGACAAAACAAAACAACTACTATAAAATAATAAAAATCACCCCAATATTCATTGTTACACAATCAAGTATATCATGGTCTGTTGTGATCAGAGCTTGTAAGTCTAATTGGGACACAACAAAAACAGTAATTGTTAGAACATTATTTACATAAGCCATTTGTTACAAGAAACATGAGACATTAGTATTAGGCCTACATTTTTTTAGACTGCATTACTTATACAGTCCCTTTGGGATTTTTCAAGAAATAGAAGAGTGTAGAATAATGACCATGAATATTCATTACCAAAGTGCTCATGCAGATTCATGCTACAATTTAATCAATACTCTGGATAACCTTTTAAAATTTTTTAGAAAGCTGTAACGTTTACAATAAGTAATCTAAACAGAAAAAAAAAACACCACTTCCTCCATAAAAGAACGTTCTTCCACGAATGACAATTTGTATATCTTTTCTGATAACAAGCCATGGAATATTTGACCACATGGATTACTATACTATGGTAAATTTGTTATAATCCAATTTATTTCAACAGCAATTAAAAAAAGTAAAAAAACTATCTTTATACATAATAACAGTCTTATGACTGTTGAATTCTCTTGTTGATGAAATGTCAAAGTAAAAGAAGTTTAGCAGATTTAGCACTATCCTGATCCAAACAGTTTGTCAGATGTAGCTTATAAAAAAAAATCAATATCAATTTGATAAGAGAAAATGGTGCTTTAACTCAGATAAGTTTATAAGATTATGTAGTAATATGTAATGTTCTTTGTATTATGCAAGTTTTGATACAGGTATTTGTGAAATGAATTTAGGTTTTGTTGGAATCTCAAAAATATTCATTTCATTAACTCCATCTTTAAGTTGAACGTACAAAAACTATGTTGTTTATTTTAACTAGCTACCATTCTCCACTGTCCAAATAACTAAAAGCATCAGGGTAGCTTATCTAGTCAGTGTTTCTGAAATTTATAGGTATAAATCTTAAATGTAAAGCAATCATTACAGAATTTAAGTTTCCCCAATACATGAAACAATAAGCCAAAACTATGCACATAGGATTGACACAAAAATGTGTTTATACCAGTATTTTCCCTATTTAAAAGTTTTGGCTAACCAATAACTAAACGTCAAATGACTTTTATATGTGGTATATAAAACAGTATGGAACCTAATAAAATCAAATACCTTCACGTTTGTCAATCTGTTATAATTTTATGTACATTATGAATTATACATCAGTTATGTAATGTTGCATAATAAATGGACAAACAAATAATATACACAAATGTTGAATTCATTAATAACCTAAGATTTCACTTGGCAAGACTATTTCAAAGGTTTCGTAAGGTACCTAAAAGACAATTTAGAATTGCTTTAAACTACAGTAATTTGTATCATTCACACAACTTATTCAATAATCCACAACTTTCAAACAAATCATGTACCATCCATCACTTCTAACTTTATACAAGATTACTGAAGCCAACAGAACATGCTGTAGTATTTTATTTGGTATGATAATAAATACTATTCTCCTCAAAATTGTTAGGATATTATTTAAGCCTCAGAAGGATATAATGCTTTTCTAACTATTTAACATAAACATCAAACTTTAGTTGATTATAAATGGTTTGGAATACAATCTTCTAAATTATGTGAATGCTCAGTATTTCAGTCATCTGTTGAAGCTTTTGATTTTATGTACAGAAACAATTTTAGATGTAAATGTCTAACATTCAAGAACTAAAACAGAAGTTACAATTAATTTAGTAGCATGGAAATAAACACCCATCAATTATTATCAACTGTATATCCTACAATTAATTAAGGTTTAAGTTAATACTAAAGTAAGAGGCAAACTCATGATTGATAATGATTTCAAAACTACTGAAATTCAATAAATAGATCAAGCAAGTATTGTGTGTGTGTGTGTTAATGAACGTTTTTTTGGTAGCCTATACACAGACACAATGTGTTACAATCATACACTAATTACACCACTTGTGTAAGAAAATATACAGAATTACATTATAGTTTCATTTTGAGTTTACTTGTTGATTATAAGTATTATTCTATTATAAGTTACAAATTTTATAGTAAGGAAAAATATCATTTAGAACAGGTATGGCATTTCGATCACTGCTGCGATCATTCTCAAGAAAAGTGTACTCGAGAATGATCGCACCAGTGATCGAAATGTCATACCTGTTCTAAATAATATTTTTTCCTTACTGTAACAGCTGTAACTTGTATAATAATAATAATAAAAATTTTATTATACTTCCATTATAAATAATAATTCTTTACTATGTTTTATCTCCTAATAGGAAAAGTAGACTTTCATTAACATATTGAAAGTATAGGGTTTAACTTAAACAGTTCAGAAATATGTTTCACATACTTGTATGGAGAAAATGAACAGTTTGTTCATACTGTTAGTTAAGTTTGTTTTATGATACATCTAAATAATTAACTTAATTAGTAAGTAATTTTAATATCTCTAAGTTTAGAAGCTTTATTTGAGTACTTAATTAAAATTGATTTATAATATTAGGTCATCAACAAATTAATGTCGTTGGAAACATACGATCATCGGATAGTTCGTGAGGCACCCAAACACCTTTTTTATGGAGTTTTCCCACATTCCTTAGATGTTTACATATTGTTTCATGAGAGACATGCAATTTCAGGGCCATTTCAAGAATGTGTTGCCTTGGATTAGACTCAATAAGTGTCTTCAGAGCATCAATATCAATTCCAACATGTTGGCCCCTGCCATCACAGTTTTGAAGGCTAAAGTCACTTGAACGAAATTTGCTGAACCATCGTTGACACTTATGAACATTCAAAACATTCCCATAAACGTTTTGATATTCTTTGTGGCTACAGGAGCGTTGTTTCCCTTCTTGTATTCAAAGAACATTACATGCCATCACTATAAGGGATTAGAGTACACTAAACTTTATACATTATATAGGCTACACTAATGTGATGTTTAGCCAGTTCATTTAATTATTATACACGATGTAAATTTTTTTGGAGGTGGGTAATGAAAGTGTTCCAAAACGCAACAATAATTTCTTGAGGACCTAATATATATATATGCATGTAAAGAATTACCTCTCCTAAACCCAGTAAAATAAAAGAATTCTAGTTTTTATAAGATCTTCAATATATTAAACTAGAACCATTCAGTTAAGAGAGCTTATATTTTTTGAGAAAGCTTTTCACACACTAGGAACTAGTAGTACTGTCAACACCAATTAATAATAATAATCATAAAATGATGTCATAAAAAATCTTAATTTAAATTGTACTTAAATTCAGTGGTGTTTGTAACTAAAGTTCCCATACTATTTAATTTTAACAATGTATATTTCAGTATCAATTGATTACACAAATTCAGTTTTTTTTTAATTACGTTCACATTCTTTTCAACTTCAATTAAAGAAAAAAAAAAAGAAACTCAATTTCCAAGTTTAAAATCTGAATGAATTTACATACACAGAAGGAAGACAGATGAAAGAAATACAAACATTTATTGCTATCAAGAACTCTAAATGCCTTTATATTGGATATCTTGAGCTTTACCTTTCAAAACCATTTTGCTCATGTGCAGGAGTATCCCAACGTCTTCTTTTAGGTGCAGGGGCTCTATCACTAGGATAATCACTTCCCCTTTCTTTCCCAAATGGTCCTGTTAAATGTTTACAATAGGTTTTAATTAATTATAAGTAATGATGTATGTCAGTAATGTTACTGGAGGAATAAACCATAATTAATTCTTTCAAAGGTAATAATTACTACATTAACTAAAAGGTGTGCTAATTTAACAAACGTATATAAATGGCAATGCTAAGTTCCACAAATTCATCTCCCTAACTAAATCACACAAGGCTCACTGAATGTAACTTTTAAAAATCAAGTTGTTAAAAATTATGAAAAAGTTAAAATATCATTGCTTTCTTTTGAGTTTTTTTAACAAGTTTTCATGAAACAAAACCACAAAACATCTAATTTGATCCATTGGTAGTTGTTAAAGTATTCTGCAGTGCTACACCACACAGATAAGCAGTATTCCTCTCCCCACATGCAAATCTTGCCAGGAATCATAAGCTCAAACAATTTTTTTGACAGTTACTTGATTAATAAGAATGGTGTGATGAAACTGTTTATAATGTACACTAAACTTTCACCTTAAGAACATAATTCAACATTGAAAACAGATTGGCCACATGGTCTACACTAGGCTCTCTAACAATTAAGGACAAATATTATAATCCCCTCTCAAGTTTTCAGTCTCGTGGTTTGAACTCCAAATGCATTTAACAGGGTGTCTGTGGCACATTTACATGGCCTTTTGTGCTTATTTCCTCTATCATGCAATTCGAGGGCACTCTCGTCTATTCTGGAAAGGGTTAGACACAATGTTGCAGTTTATCATTTTCACGGGTCTTGATTCAGCTAATCTGATTTATGGGCATTGTTTACATATTAAACGTAATTGGTATTTTTCTTTTATAGCTTTTCTTTGTTCTCCTAATTGTTTTGTTGTATTTTGGTGTTACGGTTGTGTTCCAATATGTCAGAGTTCCATATCAAGATGCAGTTTCTTTTTATATTAAAAGAACTTAGGACTGAAACAAAGAATAATACATGTAAACTACAGTTTATCTGCCATATCCAATGCTACTGACTGTAATTGTGGTGATTGGTTGCTTTCTTATTTTCACCTTTTCTTAATGGGAAAGTTAAACTTGCATTAGTTTTTCTCTTTACTTCTTTGTTGTGAAGATAACTTCCCAATATGAAACTCTTGCCCCAATGCTTTTTTGGATATATATTTTTTTGGTTAGATAGTTTTCATTTTGATCTGCCTCAACTGAAACCAATTAGGCTGTCAATTTCTGAATTTCTGGTTGGCCAATACTTACTCAGATTTTTAGTTCAACTGCAGAAGCAGAAACGTTATAACTAACTATTAGGATCTTATCAGTAACATTGTTTTTCTCTTTTACCTTCTCACTACAAGTAGGTCACAGTGTGCATGTCACAACATTTTCCATTACATTCGAAATTTAATTACTTTATTATCAATGTACACAAATAAACTTGGCATCAAAATGTAGTTAAGAAATCAAATATGAATATTACATAAGTTGAGTTCTTAATTTCATAAGGAAATATTAAGAAAATCCTCAATCTCCCCTAATATGAAAATCATGACAGTCTTCTCACTTCTCTGATTTATTTACCAACTCTATCTGAAGTAGAGAATTTAACATAAATTAATCATTATAATATACATATTACTCAGGCAGTCAAATGTTTATAGCCTGCAATCTTATTGGTTTTCAGAGCCATAAACAGACCCACTTGCCACACCCACCCATCATATTATCTCTTTCACATATTGCCAATAATTCTTTCTGACATTTAATACTACATCATTTATAACCAACAGAAAGGCAAAGTTTTAATCCATAAAATGACATATAATGCTACATTGTTTTCAGTACAGAGCACTGTCAATTTCATCTTCAGTTTTGAATGTTAATCTAATGGTGTTCAGATCCAGCAGCAAAGGGAATTAAGTCCCTTTTGTCCTAACTAGAAAGCCAGTTAAAATGTAATAGTTATAAGACATTGTTTGATTTGTGCATATTATTATGTTCTTAGGTTATTATCTGAGTAAAAATAAAATAGTGCATTAGTACTATCATTATAAAAAAGTAAGCATAAACTTCATCTGCAACTGACAGCAAAGGCAAGTACTATGTTTCTTGTTTACGATGTATGTCCTTTACTTATGGTTATAAAAGTAAAATGTAGAAACTTAAGGTAAAAATAATAAAACTTCTTCACAAGATATGCTGAGAGTACCTTGTGCATTACACCATTCAATACAGTAATGTGAGATGCATGTTCCCTGGGTGATTTACAATTTGCGTGGCATGATTAGTTACACAAGGTTCAAAGGACAATAAAACAATAATATTAAGTATAAACAGATGTAAACTGTTATGTGATTTAAGCTGTTTAGGATAAACAATTGTAGATTTCTGTTAAATTCTGCAGTCATTTTAGATAGAAAAGAAAAAGAGTAATCTAGATTCCTTTTTTTTATGGTGGGTACAAGGTTGATTAAATCAAGGAGTCCACCAAGTGTTAGGGTAGAGAAAATAACTGATAAAATATCAAGTTTTACTGAAATAAAAACATATTTGACATTTAGGAGGTTTTAGAGATTGCACAAATGAAATTTAAAAATTTTCAAATAAAGTATTGTGTACAAAAAACTTGTAATGCTAAAGAATGTAGCCAAGGAAATCCAAGATTATTTCTCTAAGACTAGGATTACAGGAGAGGTCTGGCTTGGTGCTGTTAAGACTTTGTATAAAAGTTATGTAGACATCACTGTAGTTTGTTAATTCAGTGATTCAAAATATTATAAGGCATAATTGTATTCATTCACTATGAACAGGTAAAAATATGTCAAGCTGAAGTGTAACTATCTTAGCAAAATGTGCAACTTCAATCACAAATGAAAACATCAATTGAAACTTTTGGCTGGTCCTAGATCTACATGCTTTATGGTGCATTCTAGACCATTTTGGAGCACTAAATATTTACAATTACTGTTGCATGATCAATAAACATTGAACTTTTTGCCAACTTTAACTCGTGTTCCAATGCTTACAATTAATGCCAGTTAAAACTAAAACTATACACAAGTGTTTATAACTGCAATGATTAGATCAGTTAATTACAGACTGGTCACATCAGTCTCCATTAGGGTAAATTACTCACAAGACAGTCTTTTAAGAAGTAAATATAGAATATTATGTATGAGCCCCTGGTTTTGTACTAATTTTTTTTAAATTCTAAAGCAAACAGATGGATGCTGGTGCTTATATGCATTGCGACAACCATATTTTCAGTAACTTTTGGCTAATAAAAGGACATTACAATGTTATGTCAGATAATATATTTCATCAGTAAGACACAAGCTAGTTGTAACTAGTAGAATACATTGACATTTATCAAAATATAGAATTGTGTTATTTCACTTAATTTGCATCCTTATCTAACCACACAAAATCTGAGTTCTCACCCCATCTTCAAATGTTTTAATTAATAATTCCCATTTATGCTTATATTAACAGCAGAACAATTTTACAATACCTCCTCCTTCAAATGTTTGGATGAGAGTTGCAGGTCTTTGCACTTGTTAACAAAATTCTCAACACAACTTTGAATTTGTAAAATTTTAGCAATTTACGTGGAAAACCTACTTGAAACTCAAATCAAAACATGTTCAAACAAGCTTACCACATGTGCCTTTAAAATATAAAAATGTCACACATCGTAAAACAACAAACAGTACTCTAAAAATTAACTTTTAAAAATCATTTTAATGCTACCGCATTACATGAAAACTATGATTTAAACATTTTACAGCAGAAATATAGGCTTTTGTTGAATTTTAACATCACACACACAGAAATTAACATGCATCCATAAGAATTGCTCTTAGTAAACATTACAGCTATACTTTGCATATTTCTTTTTCTCTTTTTTATTTATTCTTATGTGAAATACAGTCATTTGTTTTCTCAAATATTATATTATTCTGCTAGTAGAATGCATTGAAATTCAACAGAACATATAGTTGTAGTATTTCAAGCTATGGTTTAAAACTTCTTTACAAACAAGGTTTTCAATATTTACACCTTCAGAAACAAAATTTTAACCAATCAATTGATCGTACCCTGGACAGAGCTATGTATAGTAGTGAGAAAAAATTGGTTCAGCTAAGTGCAATCCTCATATACAAATGTTATTGTAAGATTTTCTTATTTTATGAAATTTATTGAAACTAACCCTGATTTACATTTTTGTCTGTCACAAAATTTAACTAAAATTTTTTTAACTATATTTTTTAATAGAAAACTTTTTGATTTACCAGTAAATGCTAAATATGAAAGATATGAAATGTAATACACAACCAGATTCTTCGATTCAACACAAAATAAATTACGAGACAAAATAATTCTGGAATATGCAACATTTAATTATTGAAAAGAATTGAGAATTTTGTTCCATACCTGCTCCACTTAGTGGGATATCTCCAGTAAGCAAGACTATTTCTCTACAGTGACAGTAACTCTCAAAATAAACATGCTTAAACATTCTATAAAGTGCAACAAATTTACAAATAATTCTTAAAATTTAGTTTTTTCTTATAACATAGAACAGTGAATAAAGAAATACAGAAAACAATGATCTCTACTACTTACAATTGTAAAGAAGTTTGTACCCACTTGCCATACCTTGCATACTAAGCCTTGCCAAATTTCACACTTGGAGGATGTAAAACCAAATAACCAAGCTTTATATATGCATTTTAAAATACCAAAAAATGTTATAAATTACTCTAAAAGTATCACAGAATTTTACTGTAATTTATCAGGTTTACTAACTAAACTATATTTGGGTCTAAAAAAATTGTTCTTTGGACAACTTTTTCACTTGCTCCTTCCCTCCGAGATCCAGTACAAAAGAAATAATATTGGGAACTTCCCACTTTCAAGAACTTAGCAAAATCATATGGGGGGAATTCTAAGCTTTTGATTGATTATAAGCACACAATAAAGCAAAGTGGGTGTACATAAGGAAGTATTTCCAAAAAAGGAAGAAGTGGGTAGGGCCAATGTGTTTGATTCGTTAAATATAATAATATCCCAGTAAATAGAAAAGACAGGAATTTCATATTTTATATTCTAGCTTGTCAGTATTGGTAATTTGAGTTTAGGGTTCTTAAGAAACTATAGACTATAAACTGTTGAAAAATTGTTATTCCACATTTACTGAAATGCTGGCTTGAGACTGTATAAACATTCTTTCAAAATAACCACCATGTTGATACAAAAAAGATTATCAAGAAAGAAAGAAAGGTAATCATTACCTCCCCTGGTTGGTGGACCACCTCTGTATGGACTTCTACCCCGAGGAGTTCTTAAAGGTAGACCGCTCCCACCTCGAAATTCTCCACGTGATCCACCTCGGCCTAGAAAACCATCACGTCCAGGTGGTCTCCCTCTTCCTCGAAATTCTGAATTTCCTCTAAAGTCAAACAATAACATTGAAGATCACATAAGGTTCAAGTGCATTAGTTTTCTTTGGAAATGTTAATCAACTACCACACTGTCATTCACCAATCAATAAACACAAATTAAAAATAAGATGATTCACAACTGTACATTTGAAATTAAAGAATGAAAGAAACTATTAAAAAAAAAAAAGTAGACCTATAACGAACCTAGAATTAAGAGATTTTGTCTACCCATAAAACATTCAATACAAGACTAAAAATAAAATATATAGGAGTTACTATAAGAGAACAGTTTACTCTAACAATATTAGACAAACTTTGAAATTTGGGAGAAGCATTTTTTCATTTTGTTAATATTATACTCGTATCAGCTCTGAACAGTGTTACAGCTGCTATCATTTGCATATTTCCACTTAGTTTTATAGAACATTCAGTAATGTGATACGATAATTCACAGTAAACATGTTCACAATAAAATAATCACATTTTTGATAACTTATAAGTAAATTAAGCTTAGTTTATAACTGCAGCACATAACAAATGTGGAAGTCATTGCTTAAAAGGAAAAAAGATCTTGCATAATCAATTTTCATTTAAACATCATTTATAAACCTTGAATAAATTCACAATTCTCAACGATGACATAAGCTAATTCATCAGGATTTGAAATCACAACATTAATGTTTTACATAAAAGTAGCAAGAAAATGTGGTTGAGCGTAGTTACTTAGGCAACAATTTGACAGCTATTACTTATGGAGATTAATAACATTATTTTAACATGTTTTTAGGAACCCTGTGATGTAAAAACTGAGGTTATGGTAGTGTTCCTAAGCACCAACATCAAATTTGATTACACATCAAAGTAGCCGAAACAAAAAAAGAGAATCATGAATAATTTATACATTCAACTGTAACTTCACATAATAGAAAGACAAATTGATGACTAAAAACAAGATGCTGTATTTCACCGCAATGTAGGTCCCACTTCTGCAGTCACCTCCAAACCACAGGGTGCATTTATATTCCACATTATACACTGTACCTTGGTGATCCTTTAATTTATGCAGCACCTTTAACTTAATTTAGTTTTTTTGTTGTTGGGCCTGTTATATATATATATATGCTTTTAAAAATACAATGTTCAGTTAAAACATTTAAGAAAACCTTAAACTGGAAAAATACTAAATTTCACAGGTAAGGACAGGGCTCCAAACTTTTTCAGAAGTCAGTAGCCAGTTAAAATGCCAGCAAAACTGTCTATTGACAGGATTCTCACCAATCAGGAAATCATACCCTGTATAACCCACTCAGTTTTATGTTATTACATCAATCACAGTCATGAAAAGGTGAGTGACAAGAGTCAGTTATTTATAGTTGAGAAGGTTGAAGAAAACCGTTTTCTTAACACATAATGCATACCTTTGGGGTACAATTTTTTTTCTCAGTCCCATGGGCTATTTAAGCTGAAAAAAAAAGAAGATAATTGACTAAACCTTTTTGCTTTGATTCTAACGGAGCTAAATTCAAGGTCTCCCTGAAACCTACTGAAATTCTACTAGATGGATGATCTGTTGAATTTATTCAACGTATCAATGATGGTAACTTAAATAGTAATTTTGTTCTCGAACCTGAAAAACATTATGAATCTTTTCAGAAAGGTTGGGCAGTAAGGCCTGTTCAAGGAAAAAAGTATATTCATCGTTATATAGTTGTGAAGCAAATGCATGATAATGGAATGTAAGGGATATAAAAAAAAGGGTCCTGGTTGCATGCTTGAGAAGTTGAAAATGAAATACCCCTCTGCACTGGATCTACCATTTGAGAGCAAGATTTGTTCAGCAATCAATGTCTTCATTGCAAAATAAAAAGGAGCAGCAAACTTTTCTTGTTCTTTTGCTTTTTCCTTCTTTCTTTCAGGAAAATAGATGACAATTTTGTTTATGATTTTGTTGATTTTTGGGAGGAATACTTATTTTGACCTTCAAACAAGTACAGAATTCATAATGAAACACCTCCTTGGGCTCTTCCTTCAGTTGCTTGTTTTTCTGTTTGATTTGGCTGATCTCGTCGGGGAACTCTTTAATGGGGTTTGCCTCCTTTATCATCTCATCTTTCCAGGACCACGCATAACATGACTTTGGTGCTATGTTTTTAAGAATATTATTGATATTTGAAAAAAAATCTGGAAGATGTATACGAGTTAAAAGTTGGCAGAAAAGAAAAACGACCTCGAAAAGGGTGCACTTTTCTGGAAAAATGGAGCCAAAATTGCAAGTTTCAAATGATCATAAAATTGAGTATTTGTGCCTAAAAAACAAAAACCCCATTGAAAATATTTTTCGCTGTTCTATTTTAGTATTAAATGCCCTATTTCAGTGTTCAAATTCAGCAGTTAACGTTCTACACAAATTGGCAGTATATCAGGAAATTTTGCCACCCCGAGGTATGCATTGTGTGTTAATAAACACCATTCTTGATTTAATACAGAATTTTGCTTTAAGTTTAAATGTTTGTGCCATGATACAATGAAGCTGTACACAAACTTATACAATGTAGAGTAGCCTAAGTAATAAACAAAAAAATTATCAGTTTGTGTAAGACTCCTCAGTTCTACTACTTGTCTTAGGTTTGTGCAAAACAGTGGACTGCTATTACTATCTGGCAGCTAGCTACTTGATAACCAGCTAATTATTTCAATGCACAACTAGCAATGATCCACCAAGTCAGATCAAGTCTGTGCAACAAGGGCACCCTGCTTAGAGGTTTACAAATCATCAGGCATTTGCAATATTCAATCTTTACTATTTTTGGCTCACAATTTTGGTTTGGCTTATTTGTACATGAATACAGTATTTCTACTCACCCTAGGAAAAGTGTACTAGTGATCATATATCAAACTTGTATACACAACTATAAACTATAAAGCACTAGTTACACACAAAAATATTTGAAACTATCAGACTTACAGGGCAATCTGATTAATAAATATTTCATGCACATAATACACTTTATGCATGGAATCCAGTGGGTGTAATTTCTTTAAAATGCATTCTGGCAAGCTTTTCTTTTAGCTGAAAAAGGTACCTTTACATACTGACACCAAGAAAGAGAACAAGATAGTAATTTTACATCAAATGATGGAAAGCATTAAAAACAGACCGACTATATCATTGATGATAAATACTATATCAACCCTTCCACTGTGAGTAGGTCAAAGTGTGCATGGGATGGCCTTGTACAAAGTTGCATTTGAAATTTATTTAAACTAACTTATTATTAACATATACAAATAAACTCAGCATCAAAACATCATTAAGTCAAATTTTAATACAAGTTAAATACATAATTTTATAAGGGAATATTTAAAAAAATTCTCCCCTAGTATCAGAATTGTGAAAATTCTTCTCTAGGTCTTCTGCCTTCTCTAATTTATTTACCACACCTCTCTGAAGTACAGAATTTAATATAATTTACTCATTGTAATAGAAATTACTAAGACAAATTATATTTTTATAGCCTTCAATCTTATTTGTTTATGGAGTCAAAACAGAAAAACAGACACTTGCCACTCCTACTTTTCACATCCCCACTTTCACAAATTGCCAATAATTCTTTGACATTTTATACTATAGCCTTTATAACCAACAGAAAGTCAAATTTTAAATACATGTATATCAAATGACATATAAAGCTACATTGTTTTCAGTACAGAGCATTTTCAATTCCATCTTCAGTTTGGATATTTATTTAGTGGTGTTCAGATCCAGCAGCAAAGGGAATTAAGACCCTCTTGTCCTAGCTAAAAAGCCAGTTAAATTATGACAGTTATAGGACATTGTTTGATTTGTGCATATTGCCCTGTCTTCTAAGGTTATTGTTTAAGTAAAAAATAGTAATAGTACCATCATTATAGAAAAGGTAGGCATAAACTTCGTTGTCAACTGACAGCAAAGGCAAGTACTGTTTTTTTGTTTTTGATGTATATTCTTTATTCCTGGTTATAAAAGTAAAATGTAAAAATTAAAATTTTAGGTAAAGTAAAATAATGAAAAAAAAATATATAATAATCCAAAAATTCTTTACAAGGTATGCTTGCAAGCAGCTTCATGTTACATCATTCACTACAGTAATGTAGGCTAAGCATTCACAAAGTGATTTACAACTTGTGTAGCAGAATTATTAGTTAGGCATGGGTCGAAGAGCAATAAAAACAATAAAATTAAGTATAAACAAATGTATTTTCTTTACAATCTACATCATTTTAGCAGAAAAATGTAATTTAGATTTATTTCTTATTACTTTTATGGTGGTTACAAGAGCAGTCAATATTAAGTTTTACTGAAATAAAAACTTGTTTCATATTTATGTAGATTTTTAGAGGTCATGCAAATGAACTTTGATGAAATTTTTTAGATGAAGAAAAATAATTTTGACCTCAACATGAAAATCACTTCACACTCAGGGCAGTCAACACTGACTATACATATTCATTGTCAAATCTTTAGTAAAAATAATTTAACTCCGATTTTTTTGTGTACCAGACTTGTACATTTTAGAAAAATCTCTCCAAATTGTGAAAATACATGTAGTAAATTTAGCATTACAGTCAACACTCCTTCTCTATTACAAAATTGATTCAAATGGACTAACTTCATGCACATTCAGTTAACCTATCAGCTATGAGCAGGCTAATGATCAGTGAGTGTAGATAGTTGATGACATAAAAGAAAAATTACAAGTAGACATTTTGTAAATTTTAAAAATTAAATATATAGTTGACTTTCACAAACATGCACACAGAACTGGAAAAACAAGAAATGTAAAAATTTTGATCCTTCCATCACAATGAATGAAGACTTTTGTATTATTCTGTATTTTACAACATTTTCTTCAACACCATTGTATATGATACTCTGTTAAATGTTCATATTTTTGGCTAAATAGAATCTAATACTTTTGTAAAATAACTTGAATAAGACTTTCCTTTGAGAACAACAATAGCTGTCAATGTTTAAAAAAATAACTAAAAAGCATGGTTATTTAGAGAGTTTTACATTAAAAGTATTTTAGTTAAATTACTATGTAAGTGGCATTATGGTCATGTGCTATAATACTGAAATAATTAAGCCTATTTTGTTTCCAAGATTGGTGTAAAGATTCTAGATAACTAAACAAAGCAATACACTTAATTTTTAGTTTGTCAAATTCAACTATTTTCTTGCTCAAACACTATATATCTATAATGTATACATATCATAATAGTAAAGTCCTTGTTTTATTTGGTATTTAATATTAATTTTACTGACACTACACAAATAAAGAAAATGAAACCTTGACCAGATTAACCTTTTACATAATGGGTTGGTTGATGCAACCAACCTTGTAATCACAAAGTAATTATCAGAATTTCCTTACTATAACTTTTAATACAAGTACTTCTTTACAAAATTTGGCAAGCTTTCAATAAACATTACAAGTCTGTAAACAATTAATCAGATGTTTTGAATAAGTATATTTACTAAAGATTTATCCATGAATGAACATATGAAGTTGGTGTTTACATTTCTGAGTGCAAAGTAATTTTCATGTTTAGATTAAAAAAACTTTTTTCATCTGATAATGTTCACATTTTATCTGTTGTTTCCTCAACCCTAACTCTATATGGACTCAGCCAGATTGAACATTATAAAACTTACAGCTTGCCTCAGTATTATCTCTATTACAACAAGTAATTTACATTAAACCCCGTACTTCAAAGAGAAGTTGTAAATAAATTAGAGAATGGTCAAGAACTAGAGAACAAATGACACTATTTTCATTCAGGAGAGATTAAGGATTTATTTGAATATTTTCTTTTAAAATTAAGAAACTAAATGTTACATAATAAAATCTGATTTATTAACTTTTATTAAGGTTTTGAAGCCAAGCTTATTTGTATACATTGATAATAATGTAGTTTAATTAAATTTTAAACATAACTCTGTAAAAGGTCTTTACATGCATTCTTTAAACTACCCATAGCAAGAGGGTTAAAGCCTATAGTGTTATTGCATTAAAAGCTCCATTATACCATTAAAATATTATAATGATTATCCCTATCACCCGGACTTACAGACTAATACTTAAGATAATGGTAAAATTTCATATAAATAAAATGTCTGATAAACAAGTATGAGCATACCTTACAGGTGGACCACCACGGTTTACAAATGAACCTCCTCTTCCATTTGGGTACATTCCTCTTGGCCCTCCACGACCTCTAAGAACAGGACCATCTGCCATCTGCTTAAAGTAATTTTGAAATTTCTGAAAAATTTACATCTTGTCACTTATCCATATATATAATTAATGCTAAAAGTTCTGTTACAACAGCTCACTCTAAGTATATGATTTGGAAAGTTGCTATTTAAAAGAGGCTTGAACAATGACTAGTTACTTTTGTCTCAATGACTAAACACTTATCCAAGCATGTTTATCTCTTTAAAAATAATTCATTTCTTAGGTGTAACCTTTTCTAAATACTTTTATGATGAATATTTTAACAGCCTTTTCTCAAACTAGAACTGGGAAGATGCAAGAAACATCCCAGTATAAACACAAACATAATGTCCAGATAAGCATTTGACATATAAGCAGGGTTCAAAGTTACCATATACATATATGGTAGTAATAAACTAGCAAACAATGATTTATAAGCATAATGAAGTGATTTACTTTAGAGGGAACATACTACACGTTTCAACAGAACATTGGTCAGTCTCCTTCAGGCTAATAATCTCCATAAATATAGTGTGCAGAGAAGCCTTAAATTATCCCATTGATGTCCACATTACATTATCTGACCAATGTGAAACTAATAACACTTATTTATAGCAACTGGCAAAATAAAATATAATTTGCAATTTTTATTTTAGGCAATTAAAAACACACATTCACCCATTTTATGCTACCAAGAACCCTCGGCTTGAAAATGAGGTAAAATAAATCACAATCCAATATGCACAACATTTACTTTATTGAACATACTCTCCAAGGGTTTTACTCAAGAACGTATTCAACACTGCCAGGGAACAAAAAAGTTTAATTAACATAGACTATAAAGTTGTAACAACTTCCAATATTTTACCTAGAAAGAAAAATAAGATGAAAAGTGTATTATTGGATTCACTGTGTCACACAATGTCCATTTTTTCTTATTGCTTTGTTAAATTTACATTTATTTATTTACTCTTTGTTTGGTAACTTTAGTTTTGATTGCCAATAACATTTTTTAAATATATTTAAGCAACTAATACTCGCACTGACATATTTAGCCACCTTTACTTCTGATGTATAAATATATACTGTAATGTTACAGTGATCTTATTTTCTCCTTAATACTTTCAGTTCTCTGGTATTTCATCAGATCAACTTTATACTTTGAAAGATGTTGTGCTACATTTACCTTCAGCACGGTTATAACATTGTATTTATATATATATTGACATAGAAGATTGAGAAAAAAGAAGAGCTATCAAATCTCTTCTTGTTGGCATTGTTACAAGTCTTTTTTAAAAGGACAGGTGGCACTTCAAAAGTTGCATTTGAGGCTATTTTAGTCACAGACTGGAGCCATGTGTGTGTATTTGCGTGTGTCTGGATATACTTTGAGAAAACAATTAACACTGTATGCTATGATACGATTTTAAAGAAGCTACAGCTGTGAAATTAAAGACTTTACCGTTAAAAAATATGAAAATGAAAAACACATCTAATGTTTACCAAAACTTAAGAAAACTTCTTCTAAAATGTAATGAAAAAGGTACACACTGAAGTGATATCCACAGGCAGGTATGAAAACAACAAGACTCAGTATATTAAAATTCCCTTTTTTTAGAATAAACCATTACAAAAAACTAAATTGTTTTAAATTACATTATGCTCACATAAAATCTCAAAGTTCTTGGCATTCACAATCAAAAATGTACAAGACAATGTTAAAAATGTGTATACCAATCACACATCACCTAAAGTAAAAATCCTCTCATTATAAATAAAATGAAAAGAAACCTTCATTTTGAATTTAATCAAAAATATGCATACTTACATTATACACATTAATAAATATAAAATCTTTATTTTGGTTGATATTTGGATTTTTAATCATTATATCTTAATGTGTGTGTTTCAGTCTACAAGCTCAATACTTACATGTTATTTTAGCATTATTTGTAATTTGGCATTTTTTTTTCACTTCGACATATCTCATTCATATTTAAAAACTACACAGAATTTCATTGAAAGATCAATATATCAGTTTAAGTCTCACATGTTTGTGCTGTAAAATCAGTTTTAAATTAACTTTGAGATATGTCATCCCAAGGAATAAAATGGGATCATTTGGCTCTTCCAAGCTATCTCATCATGGGGCAAATAACAGGTCACATGGTTGCAATTTGTGACTGTAGAGTTCACCATAGAGGTCCCTATTATGTAACCTGATAAAATAGCAAATAAAGCCAAATATATCATTTTCCTGTCAAAACATATGTTCCCTGGGGATGTGACCACTTTTGCTCACCATCTTCATTACAAATCCACAAGTTTGGAAATTTAATTCCCAGCTGTGCATGCTTGGTGCTGTGTCATACATTTTAAGTGACCTACTACCAGAATAATCAAAAGAGTGCAATTAATATCAGTGAGCAGTCTTTTTTCCATTTGTGGTGTTCAAGAAAACTGATAACATTGTACAAAGTAAAAATACCTAAGGCCCTAGTCTTAGTAGCAGCTCCAATGTTAGTACCTCATGTATCCCCACCTACCAGCAATAGATCTAGTATTCCTGACAGTACTAACTGTCTGCTTAACCTAGTACATTTTGAGCTGAAGGATAAAATTGGATCATTATACCAACTCGTGGCCATCACAAAGACAAATTTCCATCAGAGATTGACAGACTTCTGTAATTGATCAAGAGAACGTGTTTACCATGAAAGAACAGGTGTAACATACAACTTATTTCATCATGAAATGTAACCCTTGCACGAGGCCAACCAATATCATACATACACATAAGCAATTTTCTAGTTCAGTTATTTTTGGGCAGTGACGGACAAAAAGTTGTATTTTTTTGTGTGGCTTGATTTTGGAAATCAAAATAAAGTATCAAAGATGTCATCAATGGGTACTACCAAGTCTCTAGTACAATTTGAAATATCCACATGTGGGTGTGATTACCATACACTCGACTAGGGAAAGACAATTGTGCAACAAAAATACAGTAGCTCTGTGTGTTCCTCAGAAAAACTGGTAATTTTTTTTAAAATTTCATAAGTATCTGATACACAATGAATGACATTTGAATTACGTCTGTCTAATAAACATTTTATTTATCTATAGCAGTTATTTGCACTCAAAGTGTGAATAGTTCGAGTGAAGGTGATTTTCATTTTAAGTATAAAAATAGTTTTCTTTATCTTAGTTTTCTAATATCATTTGTATAACATCTAGAACCTCCTAAATGACCATCAAAAGTTTTTAAGGTAAATGTTTACACAATTTTTTTCATTTTCTCTACCATATCACTAACTAGCCATTATTTAATTTTTTGTACAATATCTTTAAAGATATTCCTTTGGTTATATTCATAATTTCAGGTCTTTTTCTTTACACATACTTAACTTTTAAGGTTTTATTTCCCTTTCTCGTCCTTTACCACTTTTTATTCATCTCGACACAAATTAATGGTGCCCTCGAGGCATATTACAGTCTCTGATAGACATGTGCAACCCTTTGACAAAATTCTTGTGCACTGCATAATATCATAAGCCTTGAGAATTGATGCAATGTATGACGTATATTTTCATAACTCATCGGTCACGTGACAAAACATCTAAAGTTTTAAGTAGTGCTGATTTTTGGCCCCGATAGTGGAAATAGTTATATCTCCTGCCTTGACAGTGGATGAACCTAAGCTGCAAGTTTCAAGTCCTTGCATTCACTGCAGGCTTATTTTTAGCTCAAGTAGTTTGAAATGATGAATTTTAGAAGTTAGTGATGTCAAGAACTATAAAATTCAACTACCCATGTTTTATTTAATTTTTTGTGCATGTTTTCAGAGGTAAAATCATAAATATATCACATAAAACTCATGATTATTTTTTCCTTGCAATTTATTTACCATAGAGTTTCCTTACATAGATAGCTACACAAGAATGTAACCTTTTTTTTTTATGATGCTTCTATAGGTTTGAGGTTGATCAGTACTTTGTCATCATTTATTTATTATTTGTAAGCCAAGGAAAAGTAATAAAAGAATTTGATATTCCCTATGTGTTTATTCATTTTACCAAAGTGATTATTTTGGCAGTTAATTTTCTGTTTACAAGAACTTAATTTTTGTAACTTTAAACCATCTTTTGATGTTAGGATCACATTTTACCTTCAGTCCAAGATATAATCATTTCACTTTTTTAAACATTAGCAGAGTTCATAAAAGGAAACCATAGTTACATTATGTATAAAATAGAGTGAGATAAATACTATCTATTTATATTAGTTTTAATACTTTAGACAATTTCTTATTGCACCATTTCTAGCATACAACATCATTGGTTCTGCTAGGTAAAGAAATGTCAGTCCTAGTTTTAGATCTCTCTATTTTCACACAACACCAAATGATTAGTGTAACATGATTCAAGTCAGTTTCAAAACTTCAAATGTACTGGGTCATGAATACTGCTAACATCCTCTCTTGTAAAAAAACAGAAAATAAAACATCAGCATTTATAATAACAGATTTAAAGCTATCTGTTATATGCAACTTCTTCAAATTCTATGCCAAGTGCCGAGTCCTCTGAGGCTAACCTTTTGCTTTTAACAACTGGTAATCTTTGTTTCTTTCCCTTCATAGCCCCCCCCCCCTCTTTCAAGTCTTATGATTGGATACTTTCTTCAGGAAGACCACTCTCATATGTTTCAGTACTTAGTAATACCATTAAAAAGGCCCAACAACATCAGGTGTTCTTTGGTTAAGGGTCAAGAAAAAGAAACGATAATAGCAGTGAGGTCACCCAACAGATGACCTAGAGCAGAATGGTCAAATCTCTTTGTAGTTTGCCTGCTATGTCAGTTATCATATAAATCGTTATTTTGTTAAAATCAGTGACTTGCTTATAGAATACAAAATACATAGCAGGTGAATTGCCCTCATATATACGTGTTTTAACAATGCTGATATTTTCTACGTATCTTCATTTTGGAGCAGTCATGATTATAGCATGGATCACTGACATTTGCATTCCCTCTAGTCAACAGTTCCAAAAAAAGGATTGTTGGTGAGTGGGGGGCAGATAGCCTTAGGAGCTTTGACATAACAAAGACAGAGCAGGTTTGATGGTAATACTTTGATTAGTTGGATAGTTGAAAACTGAAAATACTAATTTCAAATGATATTTAGTTTGTGATCTTTATAAATATAATTGCTACTCATAGGCAACTGGTTAATAGATTAAATTGCCCTTTCAGTAGCAGTTACAGTTTGTATGTACATCTTTACTGTGAAGGTGTTTCTCAAATTGTAAACTGATAACCACTTGTAATCAGATTGTCACCGTTTCCTTACCTGCTTGACCCATACTTAACTCCTAGAGCTGTGTATGGATTACTCAGACATATATCCATAGGAAATGCATGTTTATTAAAAAAACAATAGCTGTTCTGATTTCAAATGTAAATGTTAAAGTTATTAATTAAATTTCCTGTTGTTAAGATTTGTTCAAATGAAAAATCATATATATTGTTGATTTATGAACTAGTGAGGGTTCACTGAATTATTATTATTAATTTCTATTAGTTAATATAGTGTTAGTTATAAATCCGTATAATTACTAAAAATACAAAAAACAAACTGATAACTGTATTGTACATATAGTTGCTTTTTTGTTTATCTTTACTAGTTCGCCCCCTTACATTTATCAGTCAATAATGCATACTATTAAGTGTCCAATTCAACTGTCCAGACTGAAATTTCACTGTAACTGCCTCTTCTATAAAAACCATAACATTTTGTTATCTTATGGTTCAGCATGCTCAGATACTACTAAAATCCACAAGAACAAATTATGGAACACATTATGTGCTACAGAATATAAGCAAACTGCTTTTTTTTTGGTTAAATTGCATAAATAAATCTAAAAAACTTTCAAGTTTGAAGTTGATTGATTTTTTCAAACAATCTTAAGTTATTTTTGAAATGGTACTTTTACTCTCACAAAATGGTTTAATTTTGATACAAAAAAGAAAATTAAAAATTATGGACTATTCTGCACTCCATACTATGGACTATCGTAGTTAACAATGGAAACTGCCAAGAGACTAGCATTATATTATGCTCATTTCTAAGACTTATCAAAGTTCAAGATGACCCATGGCATTCTTTACCTGACTTTAATAAAAGAACTCCATGGGTCTTCTTGAACTTTAATATTGAGGAATTAAAATACAAAGAAAAATATGATTTTTTTTTAATTTAATAACATTAACAGCACTCACAGTCACACATGAAATAGTTTCATTTAATTTTAATAAGTAAGTAGTTAAAGTAGTACATTTTCCTTTTACTACTCCAATAAATGAGTAATAGTAACACTAACACACCATTCTAATTTCTATCCCTAATACTAATACTTGTAACTAACAATAACACATAGACACAGTGTAAAGAACAAGTAAATTGATTATCTATTGGGTTTTGAAAATTTGAGTCTTTTTTTTATTCTACCAATACCATACAGAAATCTTTAACACACACACAAAATATAATTAAGCAACTTCTTGTACATATAAAATTATAATATAAACCTAATACTAATACTAGTAAAAGTAAAACAGTGTTTTACTATTAGTAATACGGTTGTCTTAAATTTCGTGATACGAAAGCGGTAAAGTTGTCGTTTAAAAGCTTTAATTAACAGTTACAGTAACAACAGCATTATTATTATCCTAGCGTTATCATTTCGACATTCGCCATATACTGAAACATCATACATTACACTTTTAGTTTTACACTACAGTCTACAGTACTACTCTTTATTCTTAATAAGACAAAAAGGTCTTTACTATCGTTAGTGCGTTATAATCATCGTAAGTTTAATGAAATATAATAAGAGATAATGGAGAAAACTACTTAATCTACAATAACTTTGAAAGAATATACGAATTATGTAAAAACTTTCGCTCACCTTATCTGAGTCAGTTAACTTCTTTGTTTAAGTAACGTTAGTCAGGTCTCAACTCAACCCTGGAACAAACCGCTAAGATTCAAAATGGCGCACAAAGTGCAACATAATTACGTCACATCGCCCTCTTCAGGAAAGCATGGTAATTTTACTTGGAAAAAAAAAAGAGAAAGAGTGGATGTGAAGTAGCGATTTCTATTCGTTTTTAGGTACTGTTATTGTTTATCGTTTATGTATTATTAGTACATATTATATGTGTATTTACGTTAAAAACGCTGTCTCACCTGCCTCCTCGTGTATATTAATTATTTAACGAATATATATATATATATAAAGTAATATGAAGTTTTCCTAGCGGAGACTATCGAAACTAATTGCATGTATAATTATGTAAAGCAAATATTATATGATGTGTAATCTCGATGTGTAAAAGGAAATAGTTGAACTTAATCTAAAGTTAAGTTTATTATTTGTAATCCAAGTTTATTTTTGAGAATTCCTTATTGTTCTTTCGTGTAACCTTACGAATTAGTCTTTTTTTATTATTTTCTTAACTCCTAAATCGTTATTATATATTCTGTGTGATTCGATATTGACAAGGTTGTTGTTTTTTCTTTGAATATATGCTCTGAGTTAAGTTTACAACCTCAGCATTGTATGTTGTGCCTTTGTAGACGTGGATCATCCATCTGCTGAACATATCACCTGGCTTCTATTGGAGTAAACTTACCAATTTTAGTGAATATGGTGCAAATGTTCTCAGTTACTTCAGTCACAGAAATTTTGCACAATTCATAATACATCCAAGTAGCAGCCCCCACCCCCACAAGCACCCTTATTGTATAAAGGAAACTTACTGTATAGAACATTTCCACCTTTGTCAAAAGCAGCACTGAAATAAGAAGTTTCTGGAAAAAAGATTCAATAATAGAAGTGTTTAAGCTTTCTCAACATAAAAGTTTGTTTATCTCACTGTTAGAAGTTGCTTCAGAGGCTTTGCACAATGATGCCAGCACCACACTCCTTAAATGTTGAAAATGTTTAATAAATACACGCATGTAAGTCTCTCGTTATTGCACTGAAGATTTTACCAAATGCTGTGGTGCAAGATGCTTACCTGCAAAGTGTTTCTTAGCCATCTTTCTAACTAACTTAGCGACATACCTTTTTTGTGTTTGAAGGTAAAGTATTGCAGATCTTATTATATTCCTTACAAATTATATTTACAGCCAATCTCGTGATTTGATGCTTGTTTAGCAATTTTTTACTTGATTTTATATATGCCTTTCTTTCTTTGTCTTTACTAACCTCCTGGTGTTTGTAATAAGCATATATATATCAAGTAAAAATTGTCACATGAAGAACTGTAATTGATAATATAATTAATGAACTCACAAACGTTTAACAACTATATAATTTATTTAACACTCTCACAATGAAACCTTTAAAGAATGTTTAATAATGTCATCATTATGTTTGACAAAATTCCACAGGCCTACATTCCAGTTATTATTCTACTATATTCTCCCATTTTTGTGTAATAATTTATTTCCTAACATTTTGATTATACTTAATGTGACGATGTAGAAACTAGTTGTTGTTGTTGTTTGTTCCTAAGCACAAAGCTACACAAAGGGCTATCTGTGCTCTGCCCATCACAGGTATCGAAACCCGGTTTCCAGCGGTAGAAGTCCGCAGACATACCACTGTGCCACTGGGAGAGGCATAGAAATTAATAAAAATATGTTTATGTATATTGATTCAAGTACTGTTTTTTTTTATTGCTTTACGTAATTCTGATTTGAGGCAAATAATATCAAGATACTGGTAGCAATAAATGTAATTAATAAATATAAACTCAAAGTGAACTCCAAAAAATATTATTATTAGCTTCTATTTGAAACATAAAGTTTTCTTTGAAACTGTATTATGTTATTTATGTTTATAAAATAAAAATAAATATCTTCTTGATTTGGTGTAAGCTGTGACCCTGGTTAAAACTAAGTTATCTGACTATTTCATTTTACAGGATAGTACTTTAAAATATCATCGTTTTGATTAGAAACTCAAAGATCACAAAATAAGATTTTAAAATCTTTTTCTAGCTTTAGAAATTCTTGGTCTCTTCTACGTGTGTATCTTTCATTTTAATACCTTGATTAAAATATATTTTTATGACTTGTTGCAAACAGGTTGTCTGATTTGTGTATTTATATTTTTTTAACAAGTATAGTGAGTTCAGGATGGAAGACATTTTTCCATCTTTCCAGATTTATCTTTCTAACTTCTGATATGAGTAAGAGTAGTAGTTTTAATGAGTTGAGTATACATTTGAATGCTAACTCGAAAATAATCAGTTTGTATATATTCTTTGTATTCTCGAAACAAAAATACAATTGGGATATTCACTTTTTTATTATTATACGTTTCCAAAAATCATACAATACATGATTTATAAGTTTCTGTAATCATTCAACAACAATAACACCTCGTTTAGAATTTACCACTAAGATAATTTGTAATGACAAGTAAATCGGAAAGAAAACACTAATGTATAAATTTGGTAACACTTTACAGTGACAAAGATTTAATTCAGAGTTAGAAGAAAAAATTAATTATTAAATCTGATTCTAAAATTATTTGTATACTTAAGTTTTTAATATATGCTTTACTCTTTGCTAATGATAGCAGTATATTTCACTGTGAAAACTAATTGTATTTATATGATTATTCAAGCAATTTTGTCATTGCACTGTATTTTCATAAATACGCACATGACTATAATGCATAGATAAATATAGTTTCATGCATAAAAGACGAATATAGCATTTTCATACATAAAAAATTATAACTTATACTTATATTTACGAATCTTTTTACGTATCATAATTAACATACCTATGAAACGATGCTTAAGTAAAACTCACAATAATATTACTTGAGAAATCTATACGTTGAAAAAATCGAAACAAAAAACATTTATGTGTTACTTTATTACACTAGCTAAATGTAACTTTATTATAATTTTGCAAGGTCTAAATCATAAAAAAGTGACATTTCTGGCAAGCATATTTAAATGTTTATATACTACGACATGAAACTATGACAATAACCGTTAAAACAAGCTTTTTAAAGCACACATTGCTTTTGCTTTATTATGGTTTTGACTCTAGTAATAATATATATTTAATACACCAATCAACTCACATAAAGATATTCCATTATTCAAGAAAAACTATTGTAAAATTATAAAGTTTTTAAATACAACCAATTATATGTGCCGTAGTCGTGTGAACAGTAAAATTTATTGAAATGTTATTTTTATTTTGAGTTAATACACAATATTTAAAACAAATTTTCTCTCACAACTGTATATACATAGCTAAATATAAAAATAGAAACATGCCTAAATAAAACAATATTTCCCCTTACTTAGAGGATACTACAGTAAGTCCACACTTGTTATTTTTTGTAATTAATAGGGAATCAACTTAGGTTTGTCCATTTACAATTTTAATTAATATGGAAGCTAGTTAAGTTTATCTATTTTCTTTTTAAAAATTAATTGGACGTAATTTCAACAAATTATTTTTTTTAACTAATATGTTTTTTGTTTCTTGTTAACCACAAGGCTACACAATGGACTATCTATGTTGTGCACACCACAGTTATCGAAACCTAATTTAAGCGTTATAAGCCCTCAGACTTACTGTTGAGCTATCGGAGAGATTCTTGTCTTAGACAACAACTTTTGGTAATCATTTGAAAACTGCAATTTTTCGAATTAGAATTTTATATATTTCTTTTTTAAATCATTGTCAGAGTTGATTTAAACTTATTCATTTTGTTTTTCAATTAACATAAAAACTAACTTTTAACTTATATTTTTCTTTTAATTAGAGTTGAAAACTGTTAAAAATGATCAATTTATGATTTAAATTAATATGTGTGTTTGTTTAAATTGACATATTTTTATCATTTCCTTTTTTATTATTCATATTAACCAAGAACCTAATGTTCTTTAATTAACACACACTTTCTTAATTAATATGGAGGCATTCTTTTCATTATTTACAATGTTGGAAAACACGCCATTTCACCGTCATTTTGATGAAACTCCCGTCTAATTAAAGTGATGTCAGGAGCATTGACATGCACGCATTATATGTATGTCAAGTAAAGTCTACAGTAATTTAAAATCTCTTACAGGGTGAACGTTGAAAAAATAAACACAAGGTTACCACATGAAAAACAAGACAAACATGAAACACAGAGAGAATTTTCAGCTAGACACGCAGACATTAGGTACACATTTAATTCTCTAAAATATTGGAAATTAATTTCAAAAGCACGAATGGGATATTTGGAAAAAATAATAACATATTTTTTTTTAGTGTAATACATTTCACATACTATCATGGTAAACGTTTGTTTACTATGAAATGCTGAAAACAGAATTTTAGTGAAATGATTTAACTAAATATAGTACTTACACTAGCGTTTATATAAAAACTTTAAACAAAATCGATAGTTAGACGTATCACACCAACAATAAGGTCATTAACTCGTCAAATGGCTTTGCAAAACATAAAGACTTGAGTTGAAAATATTGAAGCATTATTTTTTAAGTTATTACATCGTAAGTGCTTAATTCAATTAGTTACTGGCATGAGAAAAGTGTGTATAGAGTCTTGGGCACTTCCCAAAACTTTGATAGAAATCACTATGACTACAGTAATAATGAAGAACAAACACAATTCTAGACGTTGAAACTAACTATTATATACTCTCTATTGAAAGGAACTGGAGAATAGCGTAGTCTTGTAATGACTCGTCAGGTATCATCTAGAAGCATGCAGTCTATCAACAATCTATAACAGGTACTTAGTTAGTAGCCAAAATCTTAAAAAGATGCAAACCGAGACGGTCCGTAAACAGCTAGCTTGAAAAATTTTCGTTCTCTTTAACAACTTACTTTCTTGAAACGGGGATGGTGGAGTGCTTTAAAGAAATGTCAGAAAGTCTGAAACACATAACTTCTAAATTGAGAGACACTAACAAAAATCATATCAATTTAGAATATTACAATATTACTTCTTATATTACTGTGTCGAAACTTACACTGACAGTTTTAAATGTTTGTAAGTTAATGTTTAAGATGTTACTTTTAGAGTCCCTAAATCAGCTATTGTGTAAAGATAAAATGAACTGCAGATCTGAGAATATTCACCTTATCACATAACGTATTTATCTATTTATTGTATACAATAGGCTTAATAGTGATTGGATGCTAGCCATATGGTACATTTAATAAATTGTGTGTAAATAACCTCATGACAATTATTGATGGTATTAATCTATTTAGGTTCCACCATACCTGTTTGTTATAATGTGTCAGTTGATTCTGTCTGAAACTGTATGTAAATATAACATCATTTTTTCACACAAATGCAGGAAATTAAATTTTAATCAGTGAAAATATTCCGGACTAAGTCCTATTTTAACAGGTTATATAATATTTAGTTCTCATTGAGTCTATCATTTTAATATTTAAAATTAAAGTTTGAAATAAGTACGACGACTTTGGTGATCAGACAGAATCAATGATCACAAATTCTTGCTCAAGAAACCCATCTCTCACTGACTAAATCTAAAATCTTTCAGTTATTAACATTAAAAATTAGTCATAATAGACATTGAGCTATTGAGAAATTATGGGACCTAAACTAAAATACAAATAGAAAATTTTACAGTTTACATTGTGATGTATACTCATCGTATTACAACTACCAAGTAACAGGATCACCTACAAAAGTTGTAATATTTTCAAAACTCGAACGCTTTCGAATAGTTGAAAGCGTTCGAGTTTTAGGTCTCGTTTTGAAAATAAGAAACATTAAAATTATACTAACGTTACACTGATGATAATAGCATAGTTAATACATTTTTAGACAAATCGAGATACTCTTTTGTTATTTTTAACATTTTACTGTACTTATTATTTTATACTTTTTTCAGTAATATTTTTATATTATAAATGTTGGGTTATATCGTTATATAAACATTTTATATGGCTTAATTCCTCTCCAATATATTTGGAAATGGGCTGTACTACTGCTTTGTGAGAATTACCTGCTGTCATATTTATGAATTCATGAAGTACACACATATAATAGCTTTAATTGCCACCATCTCTTACAAAGAGAAGATCTAGGAAGAGAAAGTCTTTGAGATAATATTGATCTTGAACAAGACATCTATATGAACTACAACTGTAACGAGCAAAGGAACAGAGTTTTGTAGCGAAAGAATAATCCACGAGTTGGCGCCACTACTGATGCACTCTGGAATGGAGTTGTCTTGAGTTGCTGTGGAAAGGTAAAAATAAAGATACACAAAACGAACAAGATTGATTAACTTATTAACATATTTATAACTTTTATGTTAATGAGTTATTGTTTCATTTCCATATTTCGAAAAAATCGGATCAACATTTTTATACGTTGCCTTTAACATAGCGTATTAAATTATAAATTTCTAAATGTCAGTTTGGAAGTAGAATAAAACAGCTTAGATAAGATTTTTAAAGGAATATTATTATTATTGTTTTTACAACCATGAGTTCATAGTTAACCCATAGTTAGTCTTATTCTAAATTTGTATTTAATTTTATAATCAGCAAAATATATATGTGTGCTTTGCGTTTCAGAATTTTCTGGCCCATAAAAGTTTTCTAATTTTGAATATGTTAACTTTTCACTAAGAGTAGTTATCTCTTAAATTAACAGCAGAATATTGACCACTCAAGAATAATCTAGCTTACGGTTTCATTAATAATACTTTATCCTTATTCTACTTATCTACTTTTTCCAAGAAATGGAGAAAATAGACTGTTTACATATGAAGAGAAAGAAAACAAAGACAATAAATAAAAGCTATAAAGTAATATAGAAACTTTAACACATTTCTCAGTAGTTCTTATGCAAGTCAATCAATGCTTTGCTTAAATACTGTTGTTTGTTGTTCTCTCGTTGGCGGGTGCTTATAAAATATCCGATGAAAATTATTCAAAGTCCAATTTACGTAAACTATAACGAATTAGTTTGTTTCCTACTTTCACGTTTCTGCAAGATTTATCAATTGTACACTGTGATAAATTGTTGTAGACCTACGTTACAAAAGACATTAACTAACGTAAAATAAATTAACTTTCTTGTACAAAGTAACTCAATAAGTACAATGTCAAATACAGACCGAAACACTATACGAAAACACACTGACTGATTCAACTCTCTATCTTGAAATAGCTCCACACACTTTACAACTATCTCGTATTTATAATCTAGCTTCGTATGCCTGAGAAAAAAAGTTGATGTCAACTTAAAACTTTTTAGGCCTTCTAGGCCCATTTAACATCATGCGCACTCTAGGTAACATACCAATTACAACATTACAAATAAAGCTTATAACAATATTAATGTAATAAACTTAATACTAATGTCTTATTACGAAGATCAAAAAGTAGACTGGATATTAGTTAAATATTTGCTTTTGCATTTCTGGAATTCATAAAAAAAAGTTCTTTATCTATTTAAAAGCAATTCCAAATTTGATACTTTCTGTTACAGAAAAGAAAGGATAGGGCAGCAACTCATAAAATAATTAATAAATTGATTGAACTGAAAATACTGATTATAATTCAAATTCACCGTGAGATAATATGGTTATGGTTATATACTAAAGAAGTTTTTAGCACCAGCCAAAGAACAAGCTCTCCTCTCTCCAATTATGTAGTCCAGACGCAATACGTTTGTCAGTGCACAGTCCAGATAAGCGCCATTTCTAATTTTGAACTAACGACCACAAGGAGGCAAGAAGTTGGTAGCAACCTACTTCTTTGTGTTTTCTGTTTTTAAACAAAGCTACACAATAGGCTATCTGTGTTTATCACGGGGAATTGAATTCCTGATTTTAATTTAGCTTTGCATATCCACAAACTTACTGCTGACTCACTGGGGGACCTTTGTTTTTATTTTATTTTATTTAGCTATATATTACTTAATTTATTGTTACTTTAGTTAGTACCATTATGTGCCATTTTAGGTCAAATTCCTAACGTAAATAAAAAGAGGTTGAGCTTTTAATATGAGGAAGTGAAAATCAAGACTGCTAGTTGCTGTTTGACACTAAGTTATAGCAACAAGGGCAAACAAACGCGAGCCCAGCCTAACAACAACAGACAGATGTATAAATGTGAACCTGGTATATAACTGGACAAAATAATAAAATAAATCCAAGTAACATGTTATATTTTCAAAATAACCTGAAATTTATTACAATGTTTTTAAGAAATTAAGAATTATATTAACATTTTTAACTATAGCCATTGAGAATAAAAGTTATAAAGCCTTAACTAATTAAGTCTGTTGCTTTTTATATTTTTGTTATAATATAATAATTAAACACAAATTTAGTCTAAGACGTTGAAGTTAAACTATTTGCTTAACACTAAATGGGTCTAACAATGTTCAATTTCTACAACTTTCCCATCCAATAATGTATTAACAGCTAACGAATATGTCTATTAATTTACTACCCGCTGGCCGCAATACACTGTACAAGAGGGCTACTGTAATTGTCTGTTCTAATACTATTGAAACAGGAAAAACGATTACGAGCCTAAAATTCAAGGTACTTTTATAAAATCTGATTAAAATACAGAAATTGAGAGACGAATGCGTAATTTAACTACGTAATTTTTAGCGATAAACAAATACGTAACTCACTCAGCAACTGAATAGCAGAATAGACGTGACACATCTCACTGAATACTCAATAAATTTTTATTAAATAATTCACTTTGACTGACGCTGAATCAACTGAACACCACGCTTCACTGATTCACATATTTATAACTAAATGTTCCCATCTAGATTTTAGTGAATCTACTAGATGTTAGTCTTACGCATTCTTTAGACAGCATGTAAATTGTAGCATGTCCTTGAATAATCCTAGTACAAACAAATAAAACACTACACTAAACTGTTCCTTCACCAAGTCTTTTTGGTGATTTGCTCTTTCGAGGTCCATTGTATACAGATATATGATTTCTTATCCAATATCATCACTGGTTGTTCTGTTGCTGGAAGAGTTCTTCCTAGGTAGGCGGTCTAGTGAATCCATTGGCAACTCTATCATTGTTCATCTTCTGGAAGTGGTTTTGGTGGAAACTTTGGGCTCTTTCACAAGCACATTATTCTTTGGAGTTGCATAGTTGGCTGTTCTCTTGCTGACAAAATTCCAAAGACGATAATGTTGGATGACCTTCGACTTGGACTGCTTATCTTTCTGGATTCTGTAAACCATATCATTGATTTTTTCTTTACAAAGTTTGATTCTTCAGTTACCTACTTAATTTTGGAGCTTGTCTTTCCTTGCAATGTGAGTTATTTAGCCATCTTGATGAAATCGGTCTTATCAGCATCAACATCATGGTGAATATTCATTTTATCGCAACCTGATTTAAGCCTTTCCCGAATATAGTCATATTTGACATCATTTTTCTTCAGAGAGCTCTTCCAAACATCAAACCCTCAGGACACGCAGACTGTTTGGATCCACTAAACCCCTAATACTAGATGTAGATTTGTTGCTAGTAACTCCTGGTATGAGTATTTCACTTCTTGGTGGCAAAATTATCATCATTCCTGTTGTCATTGGAAGTTCAACCTCTGGTGTAGTAGCTGCCATGTAGTTTATATGGATTTACTGGTCATAGACTTGAAGTTACTCGAAGCTAGCCTAATCTCCCATCCATGTTTCTGCAGGAAGTCAGTTCCCAATTTGCATTCTTCCACAGATCATTAGGTGTAGAAAAATTCCTACAATAAGGGTAACTTCCAACTTTTCTCTTGCTGAAACATTATATCCACTTGTTGTTTGCATTAACTCATCTTCTTTCTTCATCACTGGAGGAGATTTTCCATTTTTCATTACCAAATTTGGTCGAACAATAGTAGCTGTAGAACTGGTGTCAATCAACATACTGCAAGGCTTCTTATCAATAAACTCGTGGACTCAGGGGTTGGTTTATTTAAATAATAAACTTCTTATCTCATTAGGGTTAAATGGAGTATTCCCAGAAGAACTTTTCCAATAAACTTAACTAGTGTCTGTTCTTTTGATGTCTACTTTGATCTTTCTTTTTCCTCTGATCTGGCCTCTCTCTGAGTCTCATCTTTAGGATATTGTCTCCTTGGAGTATGGACAGCTATTCATTCCTCACAGTCTCGGCTAATTGCCAGGTTTCCTACATTTATAACAGTTCTCTATTTCTGGTTTTATTCCTTACAGGCTTTTGTCTGCACTTCCTGGCAAATACCTATTATCTTGTGGTTTATTTTCTTCATTCTGTGTAACTAGATATATCACTAGTTCTCCTAGATTATCGTTAGCGGGAGATGATGTTTCAATCCTACTATAGCTTCGAATAGCGTCGTTAATTGTTTATCTGTGACTTTAAAGGATTCTAAAAAAGTACACCTACATTGTTTCAGCATAATTCTCATGTCCTCATCTATTCTGTATTTATAAGTTGGTCATGTGCCAACAAATCCATAATTTCACGTAGAGCATCTGGGTAAGATAATTGGGCAGGCATGTCCAAACCTTCTGCAAGTTTGGCTAAGGTCGCTTCTTTACTTTGCACACTGTTTCAAAACTTTTCTCTGGATACTTCCTTCTGATCTTTCACTCTGAACTTGTTGGATAAGGCAGCTACCAATGCTTGATAATTTTTATTGCTCTCAGCTGAAAGGTTAAAACGTCATTAAGTGGTCCTTTTAAATGGTTAATGGGATAAATTGCTTGTCATTCACTTTTCCACCTGTTCTGTTTGGAAATTATTTTGAATTGAACTTAATATTCTTCCCCTGGTACCTTTTTGTCATAGTCTGTTGTTGAATTGGTTGCTAAATTTTGATACTGGATTTGATAGTGACATGGATAGTGTAGTTAATGAAGTTCCTGCAAAAACAGATGACACAGCAGTAGTGGTAATAGGAGCAGACCAAATAAGTTCACCTATTCCATATTTTGCAGTAGATGAAGATTTAGGTTGGAATTCTTCAGCAGATGCAGAAAAAGATGTGACTAGTGTAATATTTGTACTTACCAATTCGTTTTTCAGATGTTTTTTTGTGTCACTTGTGGGTTTTTTTTCTACCTCAGAAATCCCTTTTACCACTTTGTTGATGTCGTTTTTGCACTTCTTTAATTTTGTTATTACAACTTTTTTTACTTCAATATTATTGCTGTAATCCCTCTGTACATTTACAATAGCTTAATCAATCTTGTCTTCAATTTGTAT